ATAACATAATGACGTCCATAAATGATTCAGCCGCATCAACAATTACGCCTTACGTATGTGTTTACATATCACCGAATTTAGATTTTTGTAAATTCATCAGGTAAGTCATGGAAAGTTGGAAAAGTTTGTATTTTCCAATTTTTATAAATACATCAATGAATTACTTTTCTCTTGTTCTTGCTGCTTTATCTAAAAAAATATTCATTATATTTTTTTTAATTAACGTTGTAAAAAAAGATTATATAATAATAAAATACACTATAGAATTATCTGATTAAATGTAAATTAATCTTTCTTTAAGTAGAAACACCAAGAGCATTAATATTTTTTTATATAAGATTACTGAAAAATTAATAAATTTTGACAAATAATGGTCTCCTATTATTTATTTTCCATTAATAAAAGCTTCATTAGAAATTTATTACAAATTTTATCATTAGAAAAGTTGCATATTTTTGAAAAGTTGTATTTAAATCTAGAAAACTTTAATTTATAATTTATAATTTATACAGTTATAAATCCAAAGAAAATCTCTGGAACTCAGAGCATAAAGTACTGGAAAATAAAAAGCACAAGTTAATGGAGAGTAATAAAATGTACTTTACATCACGCCCATTGATGCATGTCTCAGGAGCAAAAAAATTTAAAAATCATTCATTTGTAAAAACTATAATATACGAAATACAAAGATGCATACCGCCGAGGTAAGAATAAATGAATAAATATGCCGCAAATAAATAATAGCATATTTATAAATAATTACGTTTTGTGCATCTTAATTATAACGTACAAAATAATGTAGTGATGTAATCAACTTACATAGTGCTAATACGAGGAAGCGCAAGAAATAGAATATATTACATTGGTAAGAACTAAGAAGATATTTGTTCCATTTTGCAGATTGCCATTTGTTTTACCTTGGTGCACCGATGAAGATCTTTCCGATAAGAAGAACGAAATCCGCCGGCTTTATCCCTTCATGATAGATGGTTTTTCAAAAGCAACGTACGAATTTCCTATGTATGATTTTTTTAAACAAAGTCGAGTGATGCCAAAATCGACATAATTTGACATACACGCAATGTGTAAATTGATGAATTTAAATGGTCATTAATAGAGTCATGTCGAAAGCCTGGTGATATTAGATAAAAAGATACTCTTATTCAGTTTTATTATTTTATCATTTCTATCGAGAATCTCGTTGATAAATCCACAATGTCAAAAAGAATAATAAAAATAACACATGTAATACAAAATTTTTATACATATAAGTATATATAAGAATTGAAGAGTGTATACATTTTGCAAAAATTGACAAATTGAAAGAATGATTGAGCGTATATAATTTAACGAAAGACTGCAAAGTGAGACGTAGTTAAAAATAGAAAGTTCTTTAGCATTAAGCAATGAGAAATTTTTCAGCAATAGATTGTAATAAAAAGCAAAAGTAATGCAATAATGTTATTGTATTAAATTGTTAATTTTGTTGTCGTTATTTAACATAACAATACTTTTGATATTAATATTAATAAGAATAATAAATCAATATTATAATATTATGTATTAAATTTTATAATAACAAAATAATCTTGTAA